TCGGAGGTGGTGTAAGAGGTGGGGTTTGGGGGTGGAGGGGGGTGGCACAGCTCTGACCTGGGACATTGTTTACATAGCAGCCATCCACAAGCAGGTGGCCGTCTTTGGGGTCGCAGAGTGGCGGTAAGTAAGGGGTGTAGGAGGCACTCGCTCTAACATAGCGCCAGACACAGCCTGTCGGGTGGAGATGGACACGCAATCAGAATGAACCCCCCCACCCAGTGAGAGACAGAGCAGCGGAGGAAGAGAAAACGGAGAGACAGTGTGCGGGTGAGAGGGCATATCTAACAGAGATCAGCGGCCCTGATCTCGCCTCGGCGCGATGGTGTGGGCTAGCGGCGGAAAGGACGCTCAGCCCATACAGCCAAGATCCAGCAGGCAGGACCGAAACAGCACAGCGAAAACAGACACACTTCTGCCGCAAAAAAAGCAGCTGTGAGATTAGAGTGACAGGCCGGCGTGTGAGTGTGCAGTATGCAGTGTGCAGTATGCAGTATGCAGTATGCAGTATGCAGAAATAACAGCCGTCGTGTACAAAAATACTCGTCTTTTTGCGTAAACAGCTGGGTGTCACCAGCAATCAGAAGAACCTCTCATGTTATGTTCAGTGTAGCTTAATAATGTTTCATCTATGTGTATTTTGTGTTTTTATGAAAACATAATACAGTACCTGCCTTTCAAATGGAACAGAGCAGAAAACAGAAGCTAAACAGAACAGAAGAAAATGCTAACAGACTAAGACGCTGCGGCATCAGCGTCCAGGAAGGTGCTGAAGGTGACACCATGTCCCTTTAGGTCTCGCGTTCCGTCGACCGCAGGCGTCACACTGTCAGCGGGAGGAAGCAGCAATCCTGTGGCTGACAGGCACTCGACGGGCCAACAAAGCCACTCTGCGGCCCTGCCATCCCGCCAAGGCAGCTGCCTCCAACCTTCTGGAAGTCACACCCCTTCTAAGCAAGCAAAGCATTCTGGGTAAAATGTAACCCATTACCTAAATATTAAACGGGGCTCATAAATTTGACTATAAATGCACTGGTACTAACTGGTACAGTCCCCAGCCTGCACATGATCAGAGGTAACCCATCCACAGCCTCTGCAAGAGTCGCACAACAGAGAATAACACTTGCAAAGGTTAATAAGACTGACCTTTTCCTCTCCTCTGACTGCCTCTCCAGCCAGAACAGATTTTGTCATGTGATTTCTGGTTTGTGTCAGGATTAGCGTTAGCCGTGTTAGGAAGCTGCACGGGTGAGTGGACTGATTTTTGGTGGGTGGGGGGGGCTATTATGCGAGATGCTCTACAGCGCCCTCTAATGGACACACAGACACAGGTTACTACCATCACTACCACGCTACGCCCAGGCAGAGGAAGGGGCGGGGAACCATACAGCCAAAGTAGGTGCTAGCCAATACACACTAGGGGGCGGGGCTTAGCAAAACATACAACCAGTGGGTGCAGAGCTTAGTGCAGGCCAATAACAGCCAGCAGCTAAAAGCGGCTGGACAAATAAGAGCCACCAGCCAAAAGCGGCTGGAGTTGAGCCTACAAGACCATCTAGCTAAGGACCAGTACTAAAAGCCAGAGAGATGACACATACCTGGGGGCTCCGTAGGTTACACACATCGAAGCTGGAATGAGCCGCTCTGAAACGGACTAACAAACTCCTGTCCAGAATCGTGTGTGTTTGGGTTGGAATAACGAGACAGAGCAGAGCTGCAGGCTAAATTCACCAAAGGCTGGGACCTGCGGGGGTCAGCAGGGTGGAATGTTCTGGATCCTACGATTCACTCAGAGGCAGGACCTGGGAGAGCACTGATGCTGTTTGCCGGGCAGACACTAGAGGGCAGTGCTAGTAGATTTGAAGGCATGACTTTATGTTGTGTCATTATGATTTTTACTGTCAACATGTGAAAAAGACCATATTACAGACTTGGACACATCCAACATGGTTTATAGGAAGAGAGGAGGAAGAGAGAGGAAAAGAAAGAGAAAGATGGAGATTTTTTCCAGAGATGAGTTATAGGTGGCATGGAATGAGAGGTGACAGGGGGTGTTAGGACTGGGTCACAGCAGCCCACACAGCCCAGCTCTGATTGGCTGGCTGCCATCAGCTTTTTGCATGAAGGGACTCCACCGACAAATCCAAAGCAAGGGTGCCATGGCGATGTCGTAATGGCATGATCATGTGACCACACTCTGATTAGGCAGTCGCATAGGTGAGCTGCGTGGGGGCCGCGGGACCCCGGATGGAAACCCAAGGAGCCCATGCAGGAGAGGAAGGAGAGACAGGGGAGGCCCAGCTGCCCGTCCTCGCTACGGTTAGCAAGATGCTAATGGGTCAGAGCGGGTCTGCTGCTAACTATGATGACAGGTTACAAAAGCAGTCAGTGTGTGTGTGTGTGTGTGTGTGTGTGTGTGTGATGTATGTATCTGTGCACAAGCTTGTACATCTCTGTTTTGGAGACACCGTAATGAGGTCATTCACCTCCTATAATGTTATTCTTTTGTTCATTTCACAACTACTCACTTCAGCAGAAAACCTCCTTAATCAAAGTAAAACATGAAAAAGGCAAAAGCCGTACAAACACTGCCGGCTTTTACCGGAAAGGTACCACTCTCCCAGAAGGTGAACCTTCCGGCACGCCAACGTCGGCGAGATCGCTCGCAGTGTGCCTCGGGGGGCCCGCGGGTGGCTGTCACTCACCGTCCTTGTGCACGCGCATGGCTGAGGCCGTGATGTCCGTGGTCACGTTGAAGTAGGGCAGCCACAAGTCCTGGAGCAGGCCAGAGGGCAGTGTGAGTGTTGGTGGGGGGCAGGACAAACACGATGCAGGTTACACCCAAAAACAGGACACAGGTCCCTATCACTTAAACAACAGAGACTGTGTCTTTGGCCAGAAGAACTCTGACTTCCAAAACACTGGTGTTGTAGCAACGTAGTAAGTGGGCTGTGGAGGAGAAGCGCTACAGAAGCTCCCCCAGACCAGTGCACCTCCAGTGCACCTCTCCCTCGCGGCCTCACCTCCACCTGTTTGTCCTGGAAGACCTTGTAGATGCTGGTGTTGAAAGCAGAGCCTGAGAACATGGAGGTGATGGGGTAGGTGAGGTCCAGGACTGTCTTAAACACCGAATTCATGCCCTAGGTGGAGGAAGGGATGGAGGAGAGAGATCAGCACCAGACCAGCAGTTCTGAACTGGCTCAGGAGTTTCGAACCCGCCGAGTGGGGGATCAGAGGTGGGTGGGATGGGCCCTGCCCACCTTAGCCCATTCGCGCGCCCTCTGCTTGGTCCGCACTGCGCTGCGCTCCTCGGCGTACAGCGCACCGATGAACGAGCCGATGGAGGTGCCACCGACGATGTCGATAGGGATGCCCGCATCCTCCATGGCTTTGATCACGCCCACATGAGAGCAGCCCCTGTGACGGAGGAGACACACGTAAGCGTGTGCGTGTGCAGCGTGCAGCGTCCGGGCGGTCGTGCAAACGCGGGCTCACCTAGCCCCACCCCCTCCGAGGACCAGGGCGATGCTGTTCCCCGTCAAGACGCGGGCCAGGCGGGAGAAGTCACTGTGCCTGTCTGCCGTCTTCTCAAAGACCTTCTCGTAGACCTCCCTCTGTCACACACACACAAACACACACACACACACACACACAGGCGTGTCAGAGACCGCCCCTCCATCCAGTGTGGCATGTGCGTGTGTGCGTCCCGCATGGTACCCGCTTGGTAGGGCCGCGGCGGGAGAACACCCTGCGGGGGCACTTCAGGTGCAGGTGGCCCGAACACCAGCTGCGCATGTTGAGCCACTCCACCGTGCGACAGGGTCCCGGGCCGTCTTCGCGGTGCAACAGCACCAGCTGCTTCAGGGCTCGCACCGCCGTGTTCTCCAGCATCTGCTCCAGCTGCAGCGGGCAGGCAGACAGGCGCCAGCAGAGGGCGTGGCAGTTAGCGAACTGGGGGTAAGTTATCTGCTAAACTGAGCGAGAGGCTCCGCCCCCAAGGCCAGACAGAAATCAGCACTCTGCCCCGCCCCACCCACCTGGGCTACCCCTCCAGGCATGGCCCGGCCACCTGCCCCACCCACCTGGGCTACCCCTCCTGGCATGGCCTGGCCACCTGCCCCACCCACCTGGGCTACCCCTCCAGGCATGGCCCGGCCACCTGCCCCACCCACCTGGGCTACCACTCCTGGCTTGGCCTGGCCACCTGCCCCACCCATCCCTGCCACACCCTCCCAGCTAGCCTTGCCCACTGGCTCCGCCCCCTCCCCGGCCCACCCCACTGACCCGGTTGGTCCCTCCCTGACTCGCCCTGCCCACCTGGCCCAGCGCCGGCTCCTGGTCCCCCAGCCCCACGATGAGGATGCAGTCGGCCTGCCGGATACAGCGCTGGGTCCAGGGCGTCATGCTGTTGTCCGTCTGGTAGAGCACGATGCGGTGGATGTCCTCCTGCTGGGCCAGCCAGCCCGACAGGCGGTACTCATGGATGCTGGGGACCCCGGGGGGGCGGGGGGGGGGTGTCAGGTGACAGGTAACAAGAGGAGGGAGCTGGTGCAGAGGGAGAAATTCCAAGACTGAAAATACACCAGGCTGGCTGCGTGACTGACCTGTCCAGAGCTGATGCCCCCAGTCTCTCCCGGATGATGTCACTTGTTAGTAGCAGGGTGGGACCTGTAACCATGGAGACGGAAGTTATGATCCAGGCCTCCTAAATGAGAGCCAGTTTTATTTTTTCTGGCCATCTGACGCAGCACAAAAGGCATGGAGCATGCAGGAAAGGCTGCAGGCTGGGAGCGGGCCCAGTGGGTGGGGCGAGTGGGCGTGGCTAGTGGGCGGGGTGAGTGGGCGGGGCTAGTGGGCGGGGCTAGTGGGCGGGGCTAGTGGGCGGGGCTAGTGGGCGTGGCTAGTGGGCAGGGTGCGTGGGCGGGGCCTACCAATGGCACTGAGCGCGTGGCTGAGCTCTAGGTTGAAGGCGTTCATCGGCACATCGTCACACACAGGCAGCACGGCCACCGTGGAGAGATTGCTGGCAGGGTTGGTGACGTCAGGGCTGGAGGCCATGCTGGACAGGCCCAGCGCCGACCCTGGGGGGGAAGGGGGGGTTACTGCGCTACCTGTGAAGGTTAATAGCTGTGAGTGGAGGCCGGAGGGGCTCACAGTTCCACAAGCACCCACCGGAGAAAGGGCCCCGGGTCTGCTGCAGGTTCCCAAGGATCTTCTGGCCCAGGAGGTGGATCAGCCTGGTGACCACCTAAGGCACAGGAGAAGCAGGCCACATGGGAAATGGTGACGCAGCACACAGAGTCACCCACAGACAGGCAGGCAGGCAGGCAGGCAGACAGACAGACAGACAGACAGACAGACAGTCACCCACAGACAGGCAGACAGACAGGCAGAGTCACCCACAGACAGACAGACATACAGACACACACAGTCACGACAGCCCCCTCCAGCTGAGGCCCAACCCCTCCACCCCCCCAATGTTCCGGCACCCCCAACCCATGGCCCCAACCCATGGCCCCACCCCACCTGCGGGTATCTCTGCTTGATGTTATTCAGCGCCCCCAACCCATGGCCCCGCCCCCTGCGGGTATCTCCACNGCTTGATGTTATTCAGCGCCCCCAACCCATGGCCCCGCCCCCTGCGGGTATCTCCACCCCACCTGCGGGTATCATCTCCACCACAGCTGCGGGTATCTCCACCACAGCTGCGGGTATCTCCACCCCAGCTGCGGGTATCTCCGCTTGATGTTATTCAGCACCCCCAACCCATGGCCCCGCCCCCTGCGGGTATCTCCACCCCACCTGCGGGTATCTCCACCCCACCTGCGGGTATCTCCGCTTGATGTTATTCAGCGCCCCCAACCCATGGCCCCACCCCACCTGCGGGTATCTCCGCCCCACCTGCGGGTATCTCCGCTTGATGTTATTCAGCGCCCCCTCTGGCAGCTTCACCAGCTCCGTGTCCCGCACCGCGTGCACCGTCGTGGCTCGAGGCTGGTGCGTCAGCGCCTCCACCTGGCAGAGCAAAGACACACACGGGCCGGTGACGGATACGTCGGCCTCCCCAAGACCACGCCTCCTCCCCGCCCCCCTGGGCACCACTCACCACCCCGATGAGGTCCCCGCGGCCGTACTCTCCCACCAGCTCCTTCTTCCCGTTGGCCTTGCGGATGACGGATCGCAGGCGGCCGTTCAGGACGATGTAGGTGCAGTCAGACTGGTCGTCTTGCCTGGGGGGAGGTGATGGTTCATGTGTGAGGGGGAGTGGGAAGCCGGAGTGTTTATGGAGTGGCCAGCCACCAAACTGAGGCGGGGCCGCAGAGCAGTCCTCCAACCTGTAGAGGGCGCGCCCCGCTTCCACCGCCATCCAGTCGATGGCGAAGTCCATCTGCCTCACGAAGGGGGACATGCGTATGGCCACGGTGTGGGCGGCACTCAGGACCACGCTGGGCTGCTCCCGCATGATCCTGTAGGGGGTGACATGGAGTGCAGCTCTTAGTGGGCCAGGAGGGCCGTTTCCATTTGTGTCCCGCAGGGCTGTGTGATGGGGGTGTGACACACGTTAGCCCCGCCCATCAGCCTGTGCCAACTGGCCCTACTGACAGCTAAACCCAGCGCTCCATTTATCCAAAGTGGAACAGACACAGGAAATCATCACATGGGTGGGGGGGGGGGGGGCGGGGCACCTTCACTGCTTAACTGGCACTTTTGTTTACCCGCCCTCCCATCCCAAGATGCAGTGCGGGAGTATCTGCCAACCTTTGCGTAGGGCTGAGTGGTGTACCAACTTACGTGGTACATCCATATATTCCCAAATGACATAAAGGATGCAACAAGAACATTTACACTGATATACCGTAAATGCACATTAAGAGTGTAGGACTTTCAAGTCATATTGTGTTAAGTGATTATTATGTTCATTTCTTTAGCAGACATTCTTATCCAAAGCATACATTTTTCGAGAAAGCAGCATCAGAAACAGTGGTGGAGCAACAGTGAGATCACTGCCCAACCTGGGATTCAAACCTGTGACCGTCTGATACCAGACATGGCCTCCCAACCCACTGAGCCACACACCACTCGACCTGGGATTCAAACCTGTGACCGTCTGATACCAGACATGGCCTCCCAACCCACTGAGCCACACACCACTCGACCTGGGATTCAAACCTGTGACCGTCTGATACCAGACATGGCCTCCCAACCCACTGAGCCACACACCACCCAACCTGGGATTCAAACCTGTGACCGTCTGATACCAGATATGGCCTCCCAACCGACTGAGCCACGCACTGCCCGACCTGGGATTCAAACCTGCGACCGTCTGATACCAGATATGGCCTCCCAAACCACTGAGTCACGCACTGCCCGACCTGGGATTCAAACCTGCGACTGTCTGATACCAGACATGGCTTCCCAACCCACTGAGCCACACACTGCCCAACAGCTTTTTGAGTGCATTAACACACACAGTGTTTTGATGCCCAGATGATATAATAGTATGAGCAATGACTCTTAATAGAGGCCTATGCTGTTCCTTCCTGACTGTACACAACGCGGGAGCTTCAGTCACAACATCGCAGAGAATCCCAGAATTCAAAGCTACAGTCAAAACATTCAGTCTCATGGGGAAGCCTTATGGAGGGGAAGGGCAAGGAAACATTGTTACTGGGTTCATTTCATTTTTTTTTTAATTAGCTGACAAATCAGAGGAGAGAACTATCACAATCTGCTGTATTTATTTTATTTTATTAAGACCTAATACCTTAAAATTAGGAGCTTTCCAGTGTTGGTTCTTTTTTTGAGCCATTTGCCAAACAGGTGTTTATGTTTAGACAGAGACACTCACTCGTAGAAGTCGGACTTGGAGATCTTGAGGAAGGTGCAGTCTCGGACAGCCTTGATGGTGAAGATGAGGGGCTCCCCTGTAAGCACGGCCAGCTGGCCAACCATCTCACCCGGCTGCGTCACAAACAGGCACACGTCTTCCAGCTTGTCGATCATGCGCTGGTACACGTGCAGGCAGCCCGACAGCACAAAGTGCAGGCTCACGTCCTGGGAGGTGGGGGGGGGACCAGGAGGCCGTTAGACAGGGGGCGGGGAGATAGGGTTAGGGGGAGGGGCACTGGCGAGATGGGAGGGGACAGTGGGCGGGGCATTGATACAGTAGGGTGAATGGTGGGCGGGGCACTGATGCAGTGGGAGGAACAAAGAGTGGGCCACTGTATTGTGTGTGTGTGGGGGGGGGGCACTGATGTATGATTAGGCCGATTTGAGAAGAGACACAAACAGACAGTACATATAATCTAACACCCTTGTGCTGACGCAGGAAAAATGCACGATATAGGTCAGAGTGCAGGCGAGATGGAGAGAGAGATAGTGAGGGAACAGGGGTGAGAGTGAGTGAGTGAGACGGAAGGCGAGATGGAGGAGGGGCAGCGTGAGAGACAGAGAGATGGGGAAGTGGCCGTAAGCGAGAGAAGAAGTGACCTCAGAGACTGAGAAGCAGCTTGAAAGAAGCGCAGGACCTACCTGGTCGCCCTGGCGAGCGAGAACTGCTCCGGCCTTGGCGTAGTGCTGCGACACCCGTCCGCTCAGCAGTGCGGGGTCCTGAGAGAGAGGGGGCGCTAGTGAGGGAAACGCAGCAAGCCCCCGGCTCTCAGCCAGTAGAGAAAGATCTCGCTAATGATACATCTGACGCTTTTGTGGCAGCTCGGTTTTGCATGCAGCTCAAACGTTTGCATCTTCTTAACCTTGATGATGGACCATCGTTTTAACGAGCAGTGCACTGACATATTGGAATTTATCTTCATGCATTTACTTTTAGCCCAGACTGCCTTAAACCCGCAAAGTTATCTGGCTAAGCAAGGAACGCTGCTTTGCGGAACAGGCCCCAAGGACCTGTCGCCATCTCTAATGTCGCTTCTCATGTTCCTCTTTATGTTCCTGTGATGACATTCTCTGTTATTTCACTGAGAGAGTCACATCCTTCCCTTCATTTCTGCTTCCTATAATTTTTTAGATGGATAATACTTGATTTTCTTCCAGCTTAGAGTCATCTTAGACACTTCCTGGTGTCTCTTGACAATATTCTTACTCTTATCAAGTGCATGAAACCATCATCTTGCTTGCTGGAAGTTCTCCATCATCCCTGTTTTTACAAGTGCTATTTGGCACCAATCTGGTCTCCATGATAAACTGCAGAAGCATGCTGTTGTGGTGCCAGAAAAACTAACCTCGACCCCCCCGATTAAAAAAATTCAGCCCAATCTCCAATCTCTTTTAGGAAAGGGGGTAGAATCACAATTGACAGACTTGCTCAGTCATGAAATTTTTCACGTTTTCCAGTCTGGTTTCAGAAAACGACATTCCACAGAAACAGCACATCTTCTGACGGCGGCTGAAGCAGGGAAGGAGTCGGCTGTTGTACTTTTACACCGCACAGCTTTTGATACTATTGAACACATGATTTTAATCAACAGGCTCCACCATAGCATAGGCATCACACAGACACAGACACACACACACAGCCCTGGCTTACAAATTACCCGGCAGACCAGACTTTCTGAGCATATGTCAGCCCCTGTACCCCTGTCATGTGCAGTGCCGCCAGGATCTGTTCTTGGACCAGTTTTATTTTACTTTATACTCTACTTAAGGGATGCTGCGAGATCCAATACTTTGGTACCAAGTCAATGCCAAAATTCTGCAAACATGCCGGTACCAGTTTTTCAACAGTACCATAGATACTGGGGATGTAACTCTGTCAGACCTGACAGGAACAGGACAAACACCTACAAGTGATCTAGTCCCGCTCTGAAGTACCCCCTCCCCATTTAAAAATACCCAAAATAAAGTGCTTAATGCTCTTGAACCACTTGCACTAAATTCACAAACATGGCCCGGTTCAAATCGTGAGTCACGAAATGGTAACAGATTGCAAACAGGTTCATAAAAGTGTTACTTAAAAGGATAAAGAAAAATACTTTTACTGTGAAACATTTTGCGCAACCTGACGACCATCCGGATGTTTTTCTAAGCTACTGACTCAGGTTACATATGTCTTTAAGGTCCTTGTGCCTGCTGATGCGACGGCTTCGTCACCTTCGATGTTCCTGTGGCCCACGGCTCACCTCGATATTCATGAGCTTCTGGATCTCCTTCTGGGCCTCCTCAAAAAGCGATCCGGAGCCCCGACTGGGCAGCAACTCCTCCGGGCTCTCCTCCTCAGGGTACAGGTACACCCCCGACGGGACCTCCTCCACCGTCACCGACTTTCTTTCCCGCTGCTCCTGCCCCACCAGCTGGGGGGACACACACACTCGCTCATGACCATACTCCATTGACCCCCCCCCCCCCCCGTTAAGTCAGAAATAACCATGACCCCCTCCGTTAAACATAACCAGGCCCTTTATCATTTTCCTATATCTACTGCCCATTGCAGAAGTTTGCAACCCCAGCTAATAACAGCTACTGGGAATACTGGTCTATGTTGGACCTTGCATGGATCAGCAACCTAACCCAACATCACCAAACTGACCATCTGAGGTGCTTAACCAGGTGATACTAAATCACAAGCCATCATGTAACCCTACAGACCTTTGCCTCCACATCTCCAGCCATCCCCCACCCTGCCCCACCCCCTTCCTCCCTACGCCCCTCCCATCACCACCCCCTCCACCCATACACCTCCCACCTATCCCCACTGTACTCTGCCCCCTCATCTCCACCCCGCCCCTGTCTCCGGTGCCTTGCCCCCTTCCCCACCCGCGTGAAGGCGTGAGCGGCAGGGGCCCCCTCCTCAGCGGACACGGAGATGCGGCCCCTCTCATACGCCATGTCGAAGTCCGACCGCACTCCACTCTTCTGCATGCCTGGGGGGCGGGGCCAAAGTGAGAGCCAATCAGACACAGACATACCAGGGACATTCCTGACACTTTAATGCTGATGGTCTGTAAGAGCTGCTGTTTGGCGTGGGACTCACCTGCGATGTCCACGGGCATGGACACGGCCCGGCTCAGCATGGGAGGAACCCCGTCCTTGCCTGGCTCCGCCCCTGTGAACCGCCGGAATGCCAGTCAGGCCTACAGCAGGGTTATTCTAATCACGGTCCGAGCCCTGCTGGTTTTCCAGCCTTCCTTTACCTGTGAGCCAGGTGTGGAGCCTCTGACCAATCAGAATCAGTAAGTTAGTTAGTTATTAAACTAACTACCTGGGAGAATTTAAAACAAGGCCTGGATTTGGAATCGAGGTCCAGATTTGAAGAACCCTGGCCTACAGCATGCTCCTGTCGCAGGCTGACTAGGCCAACAGCACAGAGAATACAATAACTCTCACTGCCACCCCCACCGGCTCTGTGAGAAACAGAACAAACCCCCAGGCTAAGAGGGCCCGCCCCCCCAGGCTCAAAGGGCCCGCCCCCTGTTCACAGGCTCAGAGGGCCCGCCCCCTGTTCACAGGCTCAGAGGGCCCGCCCCCTGTTCACAGGCTCAGAGGGCCCGCCCCCTGTTCACAGCCTCAGAGGGCCCGCCCCCTGTTCACAGGCTCCACCCACTGCTCAGTGGGCACCAGCAAGCAGCTGCTTATTAATGTGTCATTAATCTTATGGTAGGATTCCTGATCATTAGATGTTCAGCCATAATCCCTATTAGAGGCCGTAAGACCCTGGATTCTGAGCCAGACCATGGAAGGGCAGAGCAAGGGGGGCTGCGGATTCATGTTCATATGGGGGTACTGGTGGTACTGGGGCACAGCTGTATGGTTCTGGAAGTAGCTCCCCAGAAGAGTCTCCATTAGGTTAGTGGGGCACATGGCACCCCCTAGGAGACAGGAGATGGGGGGGGGGCACAGCAACTGAAAGGTTAATTTAACTGGGACTTTTCAAGATAGAAAACATCCTGAATTTTCCTGGGGACAAGTGGTGACAAAAAAGAACCCGCTCAGCTCATTGTGACCCCCGCGGGGGGGTGCTCTCGGCCCCCGGTGACCGCCCCCCCCTCCCGCCTCACCTGCTCCCTCCAGCTTGGCCACGGCATCACGGGGCTCCTCAACCATGCTGCAAAACCTCCTGCTGTGCCGGACGGGGCTGGTCCTGGACGGGTGGGGGGAGGCAGACGGCAGACGCAGGGGCTGCATTTCCTGGGGGGGGGGGGGCACAGAGATGCTCAAAACGGGATCCCACTGCTGCAGATTTATACATGAACCTGCTGACCCCTGCTGGACTCACATGGCTGAAGAGCTCATTGGTCAGACCCAGGTAGTTGTGCAGAGCCAAGACTGTGACCCTCTGGAGACGCACCATGATGATCTGGGGTGGGGGGGGGGCACAGGTGAGAATCCATCATACAGACACACACACACAGACAGACCAGCGGCAGTGGCCCCCACCTGCACCACCCGCACCAGGCTCTCGGGGTACTTTTCGAAGATGGAGAGGAAGGCCTCGACGGGCAGCCGCAACACGGTGGACACCTCGGCCGCTCGTGCCGACATGGTGCGGTACGGCTTCTGGTGACCCTGTGCCGGAGTGGAGCGGTTAGAGGACATGGGGGGGAGGGGGGGTTCAAAGGTTATGGCTTCAGGGCTCCACCACTCAGCCTCCCACCCAGCAGCCAATGACAGTGCTTGCTCCGCCACTCAGTTTCCCACCCAGCAGCCAATGGCAGCGCTCGCTCCGCTAATTAGCCTCCCACCCAGTAGCCAATGGCAGCGCTCGCTCCGCTATTTAGCCTCGCTCCCACCGTGCTCGAGGTGGGTGTGGGGGAAGCGAGGCACCATGTGATGATAAGCCAGGCACTCACAGTGATGACGTCCAAGATGCTGAGCAGACTGTGCACACTGTCGCCCGGAAACACCTCCTTCACCACACTCTCCTTACCGTCCTGCACAAGGAAACAGCGCCAGACGTCACTGCATGGCCCGGACTTGCACAACAGTGACTCACTGAAGCCAGTGTGCTTGTGAGAGTCACACAGAAGCGCAGGACAGCTCTCCTGGGACCCCGTGTCCCCCCTGCCCCCGTCCCCACCTTTCGGATTAAAGCAGCCCCTTCCTGGCCCATATTCGCCCCCCGAGATGCACCCACCTGGCTGGTGAGGCAGAGCTCCAGCTTGCCATCCTGCACCACATAGATGCTATTGTCCGGCTGCCCGGGACGGAACACATACTCCCCCTGCTGGAACTGCAGGAATACCATGTGCTTGCAGAGCTCCAGGAAAAGTGGCTTCTCAAAGTGGCCCAGCACCCTGAGCACAGGGAGGGTGGGGTGTCACCGGCGAAGGACGCATCGGGTGCACAGGACAAGTCGCCGCGGACGGACCCCCCTCCACCGACATACCGTACATTCTTCAGCATGTAGAGCACCTCCGAGGGCAGATGGGAATTGGCCACGTCAAACTCAGTCAGGTCGGCCTCCAGAACGGACGGGGGGGGCTCCTTCATCTGCAGGGTGGGCACCTCCTTCTTAAAGCGCAGGATTCTGGGGGGGTAGAGGTGCCAGTAGGATATCATTAATGTCATTAAAGGGGTGGGCGGCCGGTCACATGATGTGAAGGGAGGTGCCAGCAGGCCACAAACTTTTTGGCAATGTTGAGCATCTTCTGCTTCTTCTTAAGGCGGGGCCGGGAGGAGGAGGTGGTGCCCACCAGAGACGAGGTAGACTGGGACACCTGGGGGTGGGGGAGAGGCATTGTGAAAAGGGGCGTGGCCTGGCGCTCAGGTTCCACACACAACTCCCGCGGCCCTCACCTTGCGCATGATCTTGCGTCCGTAGAACATGACTTTGTCCCTCTTGCGAAATCTGTACTTTGGGGCCTCCTGAGCTTGAAGATCTGGAGAAGAGGGAAGGAAGGAGGGTAAGAAGAGAGTGACACTGTCACCCTGGGGGGAGCTGGTACACACGAGGGAGGCGCACACTCACTGCGGAGCTGGATCCTGCGGAGGACAAGGAAGATGAGGACGGCGATGAGGACGACAGCAACGCCGGCACCAATCACGATCCCCACCATCTGTTCATCAAGGACATGGGGGATGACAGATCAACGGGACACTGTCATCAACAGGACAGGTCCAAACAAATTTGTGTGGTTAATAGTTTATAAGGTTATGAGTCATTGGTACTTTATAGGTCACGTGAGCTCCCACTGCCCGTGTGTTTATATGCATACACAAACATACACACATATAAGCACACATGCACATGCACACATGGTCACACACAGACACACACCCGCTCTCTTCCACACAGACAGACAGACAGACAGACAGACAGACAGAGTGGATGTAAACACTGACCATGCTGGTTTGAAGCTGATCTTCCACAAAAGCCTTGAGGTTGAGCAGCCCTTCCTGCTGACAGACACACAGGTCACGATCCCACGATTCACCCGTGAGTCACACGTCTCACCACCTACACACACGGCTGGACCCCCGGACGGCACCGGTGGGCTTCGGAAAGCACATCGGAGTAGAGGGGCGAGGCGGAACGTGTGGTGTGTGTGTGTGTGTGTGTGCGTGCGTGCGCGTGAACAGACCCATCTCTATCAGACTACTTGCAGACAACCTTAGTGGAAGGACACACACACACACATACACACACACATACACACACACACACACATACAACACACACATACAACACACACATACACACACACATACACACACACACACACATACAACACACACATACAACACACACATACACACACACATACACACACACATATATACATAGAACATGCAGTATAGGAGGTGAGGAGCTGAGGACAGACAGGCACACGCACAAACACAGACACACAATGTAGCAGGAGAACAGCTCAGGATGGACAGACAGACAGACACACACACGAAACACACAGTGTAGGAGGTGATGAGCTCAGGGGAGACAGACAGACAGACAGGCAGGCAGAGAGGCAGGCAGACAGACAGACAGGCAGACAGGCAGATACAGGCAGGTAGACAGACAGGCAGACAGACAGGCAGTCAGATAGGCAGACAGACAGGCAGATACAGACAGACAGGCAGACAGACAGGCAAAGACACCCAGGAGAACACCTGCCACGCAGCCATCATGTGGCCAATCCGATCTCATGGTCGAAACAGCTGCTGAGGCCACACCCACCCCAAGGGCACCGGCCAATAAGCATCTTTCAGGGGCTCTTTGTCTGTGGGCATCGGGTGCCCTCCATAGGGAATAAGAGGCTGGGGGCACAGGAGTCCAGCTGCTGTACCCTTGGAAGGGGGGGGGCTCACCTCGGTGGGGTCCGACTCCTGTTCCGATGTGCTCTGTCCCATTCTGACTCCGCCTCCTCACAGGGCAGGTCCATCAACAGCCACTGGAAAGAATGGGAGCCAAGCGTGATGCTATGGACATACACAGGAAAAGAGGGACACACAGGGCCACACAGACACAGGGACACACAGACACAGGGACAGAGAGACACACAGGGACAGAGAGACACACAGGGACAGAGAGACACAGAGAGACACACAGGGACACACGGACACGCAGACACAAGAACAGAGAGACACAGAGAGACACACAGGGACACACAGACACAGGGACACACAGACACAGGGACAGAGAGACACACAGGGACAGAGAGACACAGAGAGACACACGGACACGCAGACACAGGAACAGGGAGACACAGAGAGACACACAGGGACACACAGACACGCAGACACAGGAACAGAGAGACACAGAGAGACACACAGGGACACAGGAACAGAGAGACACACAGGGACACACAGACACTGGGACACATAGACACAGGAAAAGAGGGACACACAGACACCGGGACACACAGACACAGGGACACACAGACACAGGAACAGGGAGACACACAGACACACACAGACACAGGGACACATAGACACAGGAACAGAGGGACACACAGACACTGGGACACACAGACACACACGGACACACAGGGACACACACAGACACAGGGACACACACAAAGGGGCCATACACACACCCATAAGAGACACACACAGACAGAAACACACACAGTTCATATATTCCTATTTAATTTGGGGACTCTCCATTAATTTCTGTGGGAAAAACTCTAATCCCAACATGACTCCCTAAGCCCCTACCCATCCCTAACCTTTACCATAAGTAACCAAACAAAATACGAGTCTTTTGGCATTTCTACTTTTTTTGACTGGGGTCACAGGTTTTTATAAAATTGAGGTTTATATTGGGGGGCTGGATATAGGTCTCCGGTGACACATAACAGGCACGGAGCCTGCAGGAAGGGGCAGAGACACGGCCGGAAAGCTGCCTCCGCTAACAGCCCCGCGGGATCAGGGGCCGGGACTGGGGAGCATCTGCGCGCTTGCAGCAAGGGGGCGCCGTAGAGTCTCTCTGTGGGGTCCATCCCTTTCCTGCCCAGGTCCCCCTTCTCACACAAAGAAATCCAAAGCAGCTCGGTCCCACTGTCTGTCCCAGCGTGTCTCTCTCCCTCGTGCTCTTCCTTTCCCATCTGTTCTCCGGAAAATCCACAGAGGCAGAGAGTTTTCTGGGTAGCAGCCACACTTAACCTCATCCCTAGAGCGCAGCCCCCTCACACACAGACACACACACAAAGGAGACAGGCCCTCCTCTGCTCTATCGTTAATCACATCAGAGCCCATTCTTATTTGTCCATGCGAGGACAAACACCCTAACACGTAATCACATGTGCTAACTGCTTCTGGCCCGGGGAGGTCTGATGGCAGCTGATTTCCGGTTGGCTGAAGTTCAAAGCATTCACTGATTTATTTGTCATTCATCCTTCATCATATTCCCTCTGTCATCATTTCCAGCAACGGAATCCTCCTGGTAAATTTCTGAAGTGCCAGCGATGAATTCTCTGATTACCACACGCTTATGGGCTACGACCACACGCACCCCCCCCCCCCCCCCCCCCCCCCCCCCCCCAACCACACACACACACACACACACACACACACCCCACCCCCACGTGGGCGGGGCAGGGTTTGGCCCCACTCTCTATCCCTCTCACCAGGAAAACAATCACAGTTAAGTCCCACCCACAACAGAAACTATGAATACCTTCCAGCACTGAATATATGGGAAATGTGCCACTCAAATTAAAAACACACAAGAAAACCCCGGAAATCTAAACCAGCAGCGTCCTGGTAGCCATTTAAGCCTTAGTCATCATACCTGGGTTTTTAGACAAAAACACTGTAAGGAAAACTTGCAAAGCGTTAATGGCCATCTACTGTTTCTCATTGTTTGGGAAATGCTTGGATAAGTGAGTTGGATTATGCTTGGCTTTTAAACCATTCACTCCCCCACACATCACCCCCCCCACAACGAACAATACCCCAGTGTCCCAACCCACAGGGAGAAATGCAGCAGCCGTCAGGCCCCAGAGGGACGGCAGAGTCACCGACCAGGGCCTGATCTCTGCACCTTCAGGAAGAATCGTCCTTCTCTGGGCCTGACCCTGGATACCTAATCTGCCAACTGCGCACATAAACATTAAAAAGTTTGCCTATATTCTTCTTTAGCATGGTATTACGTGGACAGTTCTCTGGTTAAAGGTACTGTACCATGGGAGAAGGAAGTTCAGGAGTTCAGCAAACTGACTAACAATTTTAACACTTAATTTCCAGAATACTCTGCATGAGAATAAATAAAGTACATTCATCCATCTATATTTCCACGGCCACGAAACCCCGGAAATTGACTCAGACTGTCCAAAGGTGGAGAAACTGCAGCCGCGTCGAGTCGCAATAAAACGCGGTCGAACTGCGTTTCGATATCTGGCACAATAATTTCATAATCAGCAGGATCCTACCAGGCAGATTACATAGCAGACACGCACATTCGCTTTAAAGGCGGCACACCGACCGCAAACGCCCGCAAATGTTACTGATGCGAGGGGGACTGGGCGCCGCACAGTCACCCAGCGCGTCGACGCAGATAAACAGGAGATCGCAGTGCGGAGGCGCCGGATGCCCTCTTTAAATCATCCCTTAAACGATCCACCATGGGCCATTTCCCATCTCTAAACGCCAGGTGTGAGTTTCGGGATATCACAGAGGGTGATCGCCATCAGCTCTCATCCGTTCCTCGGCACCGTGCGCACATGTTTTGCGCGATCGCCGCCATCTCCGCCGCTGCTGCTGTTGTTGTTGTGACCTGGGTGCTCCGGTTATACATCGCCTGCCCCGAAGCTGCATCCCAGGACGCAGGACGCCCCGCTGGCTACGCGGTTCATTATACCAGCATCAGTAGATCAAAAATCAGTCAGCGAGGCAGCACACAAGAAACCGCTTCACGGACCCATCTTCCCCATGCATGCCCTTTCTGTGTAGCCTTACTCATTTTAAATGACGTTTATTAGCTATGCACCGATTAAGTTGGACCCTACCTGGGTACTGCTCCCGTCAATCTCTCCTGTCAAACAGCGCCGACACCGGAAGCACCCTTTCAAAAGAAGCCCCACCCACTTCGCAGGGATCGCCAATCACAGACCGGAAGCGTCGAGCATTCAGCCCCTCCCATCGGCGGCTTTATCCAATCGCGCTGCAGATCCGCAGTAGGGGCCTGAACCGCAAGTCTTGATTGGCGGCTTTTCCTCGTGAATGACCGTGACCCCAGCCAGTGTGCGGGGAAATAAACAAAATCCGCAGCGTTGTAATACTGCATTCTAAGCAAAGTTTGTTTAATCCAGTGTCTAAACCGATAGGTAGGTATTTATTTGCCAGCTTGACACGTAGCTCCCACAATTGCAGTAACATTTTATTAGAGTAATATTGTATAAATATTGAAATGATGTTAAATGCCCTGTAGTTTGAATTTGCCCTTGAGATCTCTGCAGGATACACTTTCCGTGCATGTCCATAAGACGTTTCATGTTAAAACCAGTAGATATGACATAGAGATAGAGCCAGTAGATATGATTGGATACTTTCAGCCCTGCCTGAATGCATGAGCACTATGCGCTAGACCAGTGCTTCTCAGGCTGTAAAGGAACATCAGATTGCAGTGAATGAAAATGGACAGAACTGTGTGTGTGTGTGAGTGTGTGTGTGTGTGTGTGTGTGAGACAACTATATGTGGGATTAAGGTTAGAATGCTCCTTTACTCACATAAAAACATAAAAGATGGACTTCAGAGTGCTAGAGATGAGACTAAAATTAGATTTGAGGGTGCAAGGGATAGTGTATCATGGGGCCAGGTAGGGGGTGGGATTTTACAGCACAGAAGAATCCTAACAAGGGAGGAGAATAATATCTTCCTGTCCTGTGGACACCTTTACTGGACATCAATGAAATCTCCACTGTAAATACAAAAACAATGAAATGAAAATGCTGGAGAGGTGTTTTCAAAGTCTTGCAGAGCAAACGTAAGTGAAAGCAGCCATTTTTGCTCCTGGGGCTGCGGAGGCTCTACCACAGCCTGGAGGACAACACAGAGAAAGCAGGAAGAAGCTT